CACACACACATACACATACACATACACATACACACACATACACACACACATACACATACATACACATACACATACATACACATACACACACATACACATACACACACATACACATACACACACACATACACACACATACACACACACATACACATACATACACATACACACACACATACACACACACATACACACATATACACACACACATACACACACACATACACACACATACACACACATACACACACACACACACACATTTCCTTTCCCAACGGCCATGGGACTTTGAGTTAGTATGGCAGCCTGTTGGCTAGGATTTTTAGGAGGAGGTCGTCAGGAATGGCAGACCTCATATTTCTTTCTGGAATGGTTTACTTTATAGGATTTCAGGCATACTGCATTTGCATTGAGCAGTAAATGTTTTGCTGACAGAAAATAATGGAATAAAAGAAAAATGTTGTTAACATTTCTAGAAGTACATTTATTCCATAATAATTGGCTGGAGTAGGAGCCAGCATGCAACCCTGAACTTTACCAACACGGGACAAAAAAATGGTGTGGAATAGTCTGCTCAAGCTGCCACGTAATATTAGAACTGCTTATGATGCACATAATCTCAGCACTGACTGACTTGTTTTATGATTTAATATTGATCAGTGTGGGAGCAGCTGCAGGTTGTTGACATCGGCAGAGACTCTGAAGAAAATCTCCTCCGAGCAGCATCTTTTGTTGTCCGTAGGTCTGAGAAACTCCAGTCTTTGATTAATAAATGAGGTCACATTAAGTGAAGAAGCACGCATCATTATTTTTATCCAAGCACGCATCATTATAGGATCCAGTCTCTTGTACTATCATTTCTGGATACATACAGTATCATAAGCAGGGTCTGCACTATAGGCTCTGGTCTTTTTGTAATATCCGATGTTGGGACAGTGTTGTATGAACACCATGTTAAAGATTAATGAATAAGATTATTTGTGATCAATTAAAGAAGAATTTACCTTTTGTAGTGGGGCTTCCCCTGAACTGCAAGGGTTAAGTGGGTCATTTTGGTCTAGGGGCTGGAATAAAGCAGATGTACTCTTTCCTGCAGGGTAAAATGCTCAGGTTTAGCATGTGGGCTAGTGTGCTGAATGAGGTCTGGAGCGTGGTGTGATGTGTTGTTTCCGTGCATCATACGGTACACTGCATGTCACTTTGTTCAGGTCTCTGCACAGCAGTGTGGTGTTCCAGTACAGTGCCCCTGAACATGCAAGAACATTTGATTACTCCAACAAGAGTTAATTCCCTAGCACAGTCCCCTCCGGATTCCTGTCTGCTGACCCAGCTCCTCCCCACATTTTTATGTAGCTGTCGGGGGAATACTATACAGTGTCACTTGAGTGACACCTCTGAGTCTGCTGGTACCCAGCAGAAATCTCTGGCTGTTTGAATGTCTGCACAATGTCTTTTACAGGTAAATCGCATGCCTAAAAATAGGGCTGTTACTGATTTAAAATGTTCGTGTTCGATTAATCAAAATGTTTTTAATTGATTAATTATAACGCACATACAGATCCAACTACATTGGCCTATACACATACAGCACAGCAATTAAGTAATAAAATGAACTAGGATCACACTAATCCAGCACGTTATTAATCTCACGTGCCCCACTCAATATAGCCGCCGCTTGAGTGGGGCACGTGAGATTAATAACGTGCTGGATTAGTGTGATCCTAGTTCATTTTATTACTTAATTGTTGTATGTGTATAGGCCAATTGCTGTATGTGTATAGGCCAATGCCTTGGCTGGCGCTCGTGCAGAAAGTTTCTTGGGCAAACTCACCAGCTCAAGTGGCTCTGTCGGCTAACGAAGGGAAGGGGGAGGAGTCTGGTGATGTCACTGGACTCCTCCCCCCTTCATTAGCTGACTGAGCCACTTGAGGACATCGTCACTGGACTCCTCCCCCCTTCGTTAGCTGACTGAGCCACTTGAGGACATCGTCACCTGACTCCTCCCCCCTTCGTTAGCCGACGGAGTCTGGTGACGTCAATGTCCGTGATGTCACCGGATCTCTGCCCGGACGCCAGCGAAGAGGTGAGTATTTTCATTAGCGATCAATAAAATTTTAACGAATAATTTTGAAATGAATCGTTAATTTGCACAGCCCTACTAAAATATAATAAGTACCTTCATTCAGGGTCAGTAGGGCCATATAACAAAACGTACTATTCCTGAGCAATGATCTTTCATTCTTGTAGTGCAGTAAGAGAGAAGTGGCTGTTATGTAGCAAGAACTGCTGTCATTAAGGCTTATTGTACCTCATTCTAGCAGATTACAGCTCTCATGTTCAATTATTTGTGTTAAAGGGTGAGCCAGGCCGTATTGCAACGTCCAATAATGGGAAGCTCACATCATAGAAAATTGTCCTGATATGTAAATGCACCACAGACATCATTTATATACATTAAAGCCTCAGGAAATGTTTACAGATTATTTTTTTTCCTGCAGGGCTAATAATTACATTGAATTGATAAGCAGCTGAATGGAAGGCCTGAGTGCACTGCTGTACTGAATCTTCATGCGTCATCAGATCAACACTCACTCTGGAGCATGAAGTACCTGACAGTCTTATCTGAATGATGGCCGCAGTCCCAGTGTAAGCAAACCTCTGAAAGGTCCAGCAGAATCAATCTCTTATATACTGGGGGATGTTATCCTTATCACTTCCCACCTGGTGAAAGCAAATATATTAACCAAACAGAGCTTTTAAACGTGTCATGTTTCTTTGAAAAGTTATGTAATACATGCAAAGCTAATCATTCCCCATGTACAGCAGAACAGAAACTTCTGACATCTTTCAACGCTACTGGCAGAGTCCTTTCAGAGAACAGGTTGTTCGTGAGAGAATTTGATTTGCACTTTCAAAGTGATGAATAGAGAACCAAGTGACAGCTCTGCACAGTTATAGAAGTACATGCTAATCCGAGACATGCTGGTCATACGCTGGTGGGTCCCCCCCCCCCTGCCCCCTTTCAGCCTCAGGGATGTCCTCTGGCAGGCCATTGGCTGCAGCAAAATGCTCACCCAATAATTCTGAGCCTGGTGCCAACAGGGCCACCCACAGCTCACATTTTCCTGCTGTAAGGTCAAGCTTTGAGCTCTGTTAGATGAAGTAGTACTCCCCTTCCTATCAGACAAGGTGGCTAATTAGTGATTTTTGGTTACCACCCCTATTTGAGTGGGGGTCGATTCAGTGGAGAGCGGTTCAGAGACTCAGCATTGCAACTGATGTGGAGGACCTCTACTTTATTAATAAATACATGTATACACATACAGGGGCACCCCCTTGATGAGGCTGTCTGCCAGCATTTCATGGAGGGGATGGCCTGGGCAACGTAAAGCACCAAACCCCACCCCACCCTGCTGACAGCTTGGCCCCCCTCAGGTGAAAATAGTAGGAGATGGGCCTGTATATTAACATATTTTAGTGTACACCCATATTATATGGTGTCAGAATCCTGTTTGGAATGAAAGGGATCGTCTGCACCACTCAAGACCTGTAACTAGTGGGGGGATTTTTTTTCCTCGCCAATCATTTTGAACTCCTAGTCAATTTCATATTCTGCTCTACCTTGCCGTGTATATTCCTCCAGAAAGACAGGCATCTAAAGAGGAAAAAAGTTTCCCTAAGCAACCAATTAAAAAAAATGTAATTTTTCCAAAGGTAATGAGATGAAGTATAAAGAGTGGTTGCCATGAGCAACAAAAGGCTCCATTCCTCAGTCAGTCACTGTAAATAAGGTGTTCTGTGAGGCAAAACACAAAACAGCAGAGCTAGAAACCGAGCCGACAGCGGCATTGAGAGGATTAAAGCTTTTTCCAGGTCAGAATGCTGCGGCGTTAAATATAGACTCTCTGCTTTCAAGGATTTCATGCTACTGGAAACCTCTAGAGAGACAATCGCTACCTGCTTATTAGTCACAACACATCTTCTGTACTATGGAGGAACCAGCACCACCTGCTGGTTGAAAATGTAAACCGGAACTAGTCATATGCAAGTTTTCATATTTATTCAACAAAACATTAATTCCATTTTAAACATAAGAAAATATATAGAAAACACTGAACATTTTTATTAAAAGAAAACAGTAATAAGATAATTATGATGGATGCCATTGCTGGCCACCTTCAGAAACTGCTAGTTGCCTGTGTGTCTCTACCATCAAAACTATCTGAGTCACTTAAAGTGACATTAAACCCTCAGATTTTCTTAACATAAACCAATACTGTAGTGTGCACCTTACTGTAATCCATGGTAGTTTCCCTTCTCTTTGCTGCTCTTCCTTTTAAATCTGTATATGTTCTCATGCTGGGCAGAACGTCTGTTTTGCAGCAGACTGCCTTGTCTCAGGAATGGATACACTGTGTCTGTGTATATGTTTGTATAGGCTTGTAACCTGAGCCAGCACTACAGGAAGAGGCCCTGAGCTGCAAAGGGAAGTTCTGCAGAGCATGAGAAGACGTGAGGATTTAAAAAGGAAGAGCAGCAAAGAGAAGGGAAACAAACCAATACTGTAATGTGTGCCTTACTGTAATCCATGGTTATGTTAAAAAATCTGAGGGTTTAATGTCACTTTAAGTATGCAGCACGTGAAGGCAGAACCCCCAATCTGAACACTTGTTAAAAGGTCACCCTCCGGAAGTGCTAAATCCACTGCAATTATGACAACCAGGCAACAAGCATTTTCAGGAAAGGCCACCTGTGCTTCTTTCTACATGGGTTTCCTGTAAAAATCCATCAGAGAGACTAGGCCTCCTGTCCCATGAGGAGGTCAGGTATACAGCCCTGGAACCTCAGGAGGTCCTACTAGAAGAGCCTTGGAAGGTCTATGGGACCATTGGTGGCCTAACTCTCGGAGATCTATGAATGGAATAACCACACAGATCCTGCTCCGCATAGCTCCCACTCTTCAGAACAAATCCGGATCAGTCAGTGTGTCATGTCGTCTCCTCCTCTGATGGCATCCCTAGACTTCAAGGTGAACAATAGCCAACTTCAACAGTTCTTCAACTGGCAGCTTTAGCACAGAGCAGGAACATAAAGCTTGCCACTGAAGAACTGCTGCTGGTGAGCCAGAAAGTGGTGCGTCCGCTGTGGGAGGAAACAGACCGTGTTTAGGAATCATCATATAATAATATTTATATGCAGTCACAATATATCATTATAAGAAATGGCAGTCAGGAAAAAAAAAGTCTGATTACAGGCCAAATCAGGTGCGCTTTGGTCGCTTCGGATATGCATTAGCTGCTCTTCCTTTTAAATCTGTATATGTTCTCATGCTGGGCAGAACGTCTGTTTTGCAGCAGACTGCCTTGTCTCAGGAATGGATACACTGTGTCTGTGTATATGTTTGTATAGGCTTGTAACCTGAGCCAGCACTACAGGAAGAGGCCCTGAGCTGCAAAGGGAAGTTCTGCAGAGCATGAGAAGACGTGAGGATTTAAAAAGGAAGAGCAGCAAAGAGAAGGGAAACAAACCAATACTGTAATGTGTGCCTTACTGTAATCCATGGTTATGTTAAAAAATCTGAGGGTTTAATGTCACTTTAAGTATGCAGCACGTGAAGGCAGAACCCCCAATCTGAACACTTGTTAAAAGGTCACCCTCCGGAAGTGCTAAATCCACTGCAATTATGACAACCAGGCAACAAGCATTTTCAGGAAAGGCCACCTGTGCTTCTTTCTACATGGGTTTCCTGTAAAAATCCATCAGAGAGACTAGGCCTCCTGTCCCATGAGGAGGTCAGGTATACAGCCCTGGAACCTCAGGAGGTCCTACTAGAAGAGCCTTGGAAGGTCTATGGGACCATTGGTGGCCTAACTCTCGGAGATCTATGAATGGAATAACCACACAGATCCTGCTCCGCATAGCTCCCACTCTTCAGAACAAATCCGGATCAGTCAGTGTGTCATGTCGTCTCCTCCTCTGATGGCATCCCTAGACTTCAAGGTGAACAATAGCCAACTTCAACAGTTCTTCAACTGGCAGCTTTAGCACAGAGCAGGAACATAAAGCTTGCCACTGAAGAACTGCTGCTGGTGAGCCAGAAAGTGGTGCGTCCGCTGTGGGAGGAAACAGACCGTGTTTAGGAATCATCATATAATAATATTTATATGCAGTCACAATATATCATTATAAGAAATGGCAGTCAGGAAAAAAAAAGTCTGATTACAGGCCAAATCAGGTGCGCTTTGGTCGCTTCGGATATGCATTAGGATAAAAACAGGATTGCCTAAGCTAACAAAGCATTTCTCTTATTAGAAGCCATTTAGCACACCTGCCAATCACTGTGCTCATATTATAGACTTGCTGATGTTAATACAACCCAACAATCACAGGAGGGAGAAAGACAATGCTCACAAAAAGACATTGTGCACAGCCATTGACACAAAAGTACAACTAATATTCTGAGTATGTCTCAAACATACACTTTCCAGAATGCTGGGAAATAGATTAGAGGAAACCCCCCCCCCCCAAAAAAAAAAAAAAAAAATCAAATGTATCTGTTTATTAATGGTATACTTTACTGGTTACAGAGTGACTATTATGACATCGACCACTAAAGGGGACTACATATTAAGAGTCCACAGGACTCTAATGTTGCCTTTAAATGGTCCATCTACCCTAGACCCAGCAAAGACAGAAATGCTGGTAGGTTCAGTGTGATCCAGCTATGACTGGCCTTGCAAAATTATGAATATTCAGTCTTCATTTGTTTGGGGTCACAAACCATTTCCCAGTTTGGGGGGGTACAGTATGTGAGGTCAGACAGGGTAGCATCATACCTTAGGTGACCCCCTGACTCGAGCACAAGTCACACACAGTCACTAAAACTAAATAAGCAAAAAACTACAAGATGAGAATACTTTATTAAATATTCAGATTCCTGCACAGCACAGACAAGCCTGGTCACCCCAATTACTCAGTTTTCTCATTTCTCTCGGGGTCTCCAGTGTGACATCTATGTGCCCGAGTTCCCAGTGTTATCAGGAGGGGGTCTTCCTCTGCCTCTTGGGGATGACATGTCTGACACGGCAGAGATGGGGAGGTCCTGCAGCGGGTGATTCAGCCCACTAGCATCCATCCAAAGCAGAAATATCAGCTGGGACCCTTTAAAAATGCAAACAAATTCCACTGTCTGCGTAGATATGAAACGTAGGCTCTCCAGCTAGGGCAAGGACTCCGTATCTTCAGTACAAGCCACTGGATACAATTCAGACAACGGCTGGGAAAATCTACGACTTGTAACACAAGATATTTTTCCCACTCCTTATTTTGAGAACATGTACTCAACAATCCCATGTCATACGGTTCCTTTATGCCCGGGTGCTGCGCAACAATGCCAGATCTGTAAACTCTCTACTGGCTGAGAAACGTGTGCAGACATTACTCCCTTAGAACACGCTAGTTGCCTGCCTTTCCCTGGCTTCCATTTCTTTGAGTCAGTGACCTGGAACAAGCAAACGGCCAGTGAAAGACAGCACTAGTCTACATAGCAGTGACTCAGACAAGATTAAAGAAGAGCTCCGGGCATTTAAAACAAACAGTGGGGGCTACCACCGCACTGCAAGGCTTAGTACTCATTTTGGTCTAGGGTCTAAGATAAATAAGACACACTCACCTCAT